AGAGAAGTAGAGAGAGAAGGAAGAGAAGTAGAGAGAGAAGGAAGAGAAGTAGAGAGAGAAGGAAGAGAAGTAGAGAGAGAAGGAAGAGAAGTAGAGAGAGAAGGAAGAGAAGTAGAGAGAGAAGGAAGAGGAGTAGAGAGAGAAGGAAGAGAAGTAGAGAGAGAAGGAAGAGAAGTAGAGAGAGAAGGAAGAGAAGTAGAGAGAGAAGGAAGAGAAGTAGAGAGAGAAGGAAGAGAAGTAGAGAGAGAAGGAAGAGAAGTAGAGAGAGAAGGAAGAGAAGTAGAGAGAGAAGGAAGAGAAATAGAGAAAGAAGGAAGAGAAGTAGAGAGAGAAGGAAGAGAAGTAGAGAGAGAAGTAGAGAAAGAAGGAAGAGAAGTAGAGAAAAAGAAAAGTAGAGAGAGAGAAGGAAGAGAAGTAGAGAGAGAAGGAAGAGAAGTAGAGAGAGAAGTAGAGAGAGAAGGAAGAGAAGCAGAGAGAGAAGGAAGAGAAGTAGAGAGAGAAGGAAGAGAAGTAGAGAGAGAAGGAAGAGAAGTAGAGAGAGAAGGAAGAGAAGAGAGAGAGAAGGAAGAGAAGTAGAGAGAGAAGGAAGAGAAGTAGAGAGAGAAGGAAGAGAAGAGAGAGAGAAGGAAGAGAAGTAGAGAGAGAAGGAGAGAAGTAGAGAGAAGGAAGAGAAGTAGAGAAAGAAGGAAGAGAAGTAGAGAGAGAAGGAAGAGAAGTAGAGAAAGAAGGAAGAGAAGTAGAGAAAGAAGGAAGAGAAGAGAGAGAAGGAAGAGAAGTAGAGAGAGAAGGAAGAGAAGTAGAGAGAGAAGGAAGAGAAGTAGAGAGAGAAGGAAGGAAGAGAGAAAGAAGGAAGAGAAGTAGAGAAAGAAGGAAGAGAAGTAGAGAAAGAAGGAAGAGAAGTAGAGAGAAGGAAGAGAAGTAGAAAGAAGGAAGAAGTAGAGAGAGAAGGAAGAGAAGTAGAGAGAGAAGGAAGAGAAGTAGAGAAAGAAGGAAGAGAAGTAGAGAAAGAAGGAAGAGAAGAGAGAAAGAAGGAAGAGAAGTAGAGAAAGAAGGAAGAGAAGTAGAGAGAGAAGGAAGAGAAGAGAAAGAAGGAAGAGAAGTAGAGAGAGAAGGAACAGAAGTAGAGAGAGAAGGAAGAGAAGTAGAGAGAAGGAAGAGAAGTAGAGAGAGAAGGAAGAGAAGTAGAGAGAGAAGGAAGAGAAGTAAAGAGAGAAGGAAGAGAAGTAGAGAAAGAAGGAAGAGAAGTAGAGAAAGAAGGAAGAGAAGTAGAGAGAGAAGGAAGAGAAGTAGAGAGAAGGAAGAGAAGTAGAGAGAGAAGGAAGAGAAGTAGAGAGAGAAGGAAGAGAAGTAGAGAAAGAAGGAAGAGAAGTAGAGAAAGAAGGAAGAGAAGTAGAGAGAGAAGGAAGAGAAGTAGAGAAAGAAGGAAGAGAAGTAGAGAAAGAAGGAAGAGAAGTAGAGAGAAGGAACAGAAGTAGAGAGAGAAGGAAGAGAAGTAGAGAAAAGGAAGAGAAGTAGAGAGAGAAGGAAGAGAAGTAGAGAAAGAAGGACGGGAAGTAGAGAAAGAAGGAAGAGAAGTAGAGAAAGAAGGAAGAGAAGTAGAGAGAGAAGTAGAGAAAGAAGGAAGAGAAGAGAGAAAGAAGGAAGAGAAGTAGAGAAAGAAGGACGGGAAGTAGAGAGAGAAATAGAGAAGAAGGAAGAGAAGTAGAGAGAGAAGGAAGAGAAGTAGAGAAAGAAGGAAGAGAAGAAGAGAGAGAAGGAACAGAAGTAGAGAAAGAAGGAAGTGAAGTAGAGAGAGAAGGAAGAGAAGTAGAGAGAGAAGGAAGAGAAGTAGAGAAAGAAGGAAGAGAAGTAGAGAAAGAAGGAAGAGAAGTAGAGAGAGAAGGAAGAGAAGTAGAGAAAGAAGGAAGAGAAGTAGAGAAAGAAGGAGAAGCAGAGAAAGAAGGAAGAGAAGCAGAGAAAGAAGGAAGAGAAGTAGAGAGAAAGAAGGAAGAGAAGTAGAGAGAGAAGGAAGAGAAGAGAGAGAGAAGGAAGAGAAGTAGAGAAAGAAGGAAG